AACGCAAACAGTTTTTCGGGGAAAATGCCTTACTGCAGTAACATTTTTTGCTTTCTTTATATGCTTAGTTCTTTTGTGTTAGAGGTAGTTTGGTGCAATAGTAATAGAGAATTAGTTTCTAGTGAATTGTTTTCAGTTTCGACAAATCGTTTCGTTGTTCTTCTAGCTAGTGAGTGCTGCTCCCTTGCAGAAACTTAAGATCGTTTTCGTGGCACAAGATAGTTCTCTTAGTCCAATGGCACCTTGAGGAGGTTTGATGATGCACAAGGCATCCATCAACAGTTCTTAAGCCTTTGACTCTTGTGCATATTTCACATAGTACTTCTTACTTTACTGAATATTTCCCCTTATAAATAAAGATATGGGCTTGCTATTTAAAAATGTGGTAGTTAAGCTTTATATGAAAAGAATAAAAAAGACGAAGTCGGGTTTTAAAGAGGATTGGTTTTTTGCTTGTTCAAGTTTCATCTTCCTAATCATTTTCATTTAATCCTTGGCTGGCATCTTTCATCTTTTCTTCAGATATTCCTTTTCGAATTTACCAATTCAAAATCTCAAAAGAGTTTCAGGACGTGCTCACCGATCGTAATCTGGTCAACGTGCAACAGTATTAAGATGCTGTCAATACTCAATTTTTAATAATGCGAGACGTCGTCCCTGCGGAGTTTACCCAATATTTAATGGCGACGCCATAGCTTTTAATTGTCGTGATCGAGTCCTAACACCTGCCGGCAAATAAAGAGAAAGCTTGAGCTTGTTGAAATAACGCGTTTAACTACCTCCACAGTCAATTTTACCTGTCTACTGGGGAAAAGTGTTGCCAGCATGGAGACCGAAAACAATGCATTCTAATCCTAGTAGTATGCGCGAAGTTTGTCATCATAGACCTAGTTAAACGACGTAGCCTGGCACGCGAATCCTTTAGTTCAGAGGTAAAGCTTCCGAAGTACTAATCGGAAGATCGTTGGTTCGACTCCTATTGGGGGCACTCTGAGTTCTTTTTCTCCTAGTACAACTGCGTCACTCACATATTAACGTCAACTTCTGCCTTCTTCATTGCTTCAGTGTGTTATGGTTACCACTTTCATTTAAACCACAAGGATAACTAGGAGAAAAAAACTAGAGGTCTTTGTACAAATACCCATAACTAAATCTCTTGAATGGTTTTCGTTAGTCCCCTCGCTTACATCAAGTCAATCTCTAGCGGGTGAACAGGACCCTCTTAACATGGTTTTGTCTTGCATCAGAAAACGACCATAAATTTTAGTTTCAAGTGAACTAAATTTCTGTACCCTTACCTAATTTTCCGGCTCATTGCCTCAGTCTTTCTCACTATAAACCCAGACCCTCTTCAACTCTCAAAAACTGAAAGGCAATTTGTGGCAATACTGACTCATCTGTCGTGGCTCCTGGTCGATAGGTTTGTTGGTTACCAGCGAATGGGCAAAAAAAAACAACAAACAAACAAAACAAACAAACAAACAAACAAACAAAAAACTAAATGAAATGTTTAAGCTTCGATGTTTTTTGGAGCGACAATTACCTATAAGAAGGCGTGCGGTGATCTGATGGCGTGTGGTGTCCTGGGTAGCTTTTCATTGCCAAAATCTAATTTACCAGGCCTCCATAATCCCATACTGTCTTTGAGAAAGTGATTTTGGGCTTGCGGTAAAGTGAAAAAGGTCAGCAATTTACTGTTAAAGCATACGCTGAACAGACACATTTATTTGTCCGTTGATTAACACACAGCCTTTAATTAATTTTCATGTAAATTACATACTGTTTTCTGCTTTTGACCTAAGAAAGCGCATAATGTACTCATTTTCTCTTAGATTGATTGCTTTGAACTACTTGGAAACTAACTGCTGGAGAAGAAAGATAAAATAGCTTAGTTTCTTGCAGACTTCCAGCACTTCCCTCGACATGTTCCAAGTACAGGTCTATTGCTACAGTGTATGTTCCAGCTTTAGTAGTGTCGTATTCAGAAGAAAGATCGAACTTTGACAAAACGGTTTCCCCAGCGGCAATGGTCAAGAAAGCGCCTGCGCCGGGATCTTCTCTCTTCATCATTATACCTTCTGGACTCAGCTCTGTTCCGTCTCGGCTGACAGTCAGACCGTTCACGGCTAGGTCGTTCAGCGGTGTGTTCCATTTTAGCACGGAATATGCGCGGTCACCGTTATTTGTCAGGCTGAAGTCGCATACAACTGTGTCTGTTGTTTGATAAGAAGTTAGTGGACACTCGATTGAGGCAGAAAAAAGCCTGGTAAAGAAATAAATGATAATTCTGTAAACTTCTATATAGATTAAAACGTTTTTGCTGGGGTGTTAGGATGCAGGTTTCGGGCTAGAAAAGGAAAAATGAAATTTGCCCGAAAAAATGCTTGAACATTAATGATTACTGAATGACAAGAATATAAGTAAACTTCTAAATTGGTGCTCTTTGATCATCTTTTCTTATCAAATAATAAAAAGAAAAATTTTCTAAGATAATAAAAGTGGTTAAAACAATGATATATAATGTCTTTCTACCCTAAAGCCAGATAAGTCTGAATCATCGTGAATGACAATTAACTGAACCGAAAATTACCATTTCATTTCCATTTTTTGGTCTATTCCCTTTTTTTGCTACTAATTTAATTTCTTTGTATCACACTCACTCAGCTTCTCGTGGATCCTCTGCCCTCACATGTGTTGCTAATACAATCAAAGTAGCTGACCAGCTGCAGAGTAATATCTTTGGAAGGATCAGGACTATCATCTTAAAAAAATACACAAGATCGTAAGTATGTATAATTGAAATAACTCAATAAAGAGATATGTAAAAAAAAGATGATTAAGGAACAGATTAATAAAAGGTTCTTAGATGATTCAAGTTTGTGCGTATTTGTTAATTTTTCAGTCATCTCTCTTTCTTTTCTCACATGTTTGATCAATAAATGAAAAATGGAGCCAAATTCATTTCCAGTCGCTCTGAAGACACGTTGCGCTGAATAGGAAGCATCATAAGAAAGGCCATTTTCTTCGTTCCTCACAGCTTTACTATTCTTGATGATCCTTATTCATGAATAGTGATAGACACCCGCCAAATGCCGGAAGCGTTCTTCGTATGGCTTCAATCTCGTAATTTTTTTTTCTTGTTACTAATTTTGATAAATGAAAATACAGGTTAACCTTTTCACTGTGGAATGAACAGTTCCATTTGGGCTTGTTGGAAAAAATTGAACAATTTCTTTTCTGGAAAGTTTATCTACGCAGACCGAGCTGTTTACAGAAGAAGGACCCTCATCTGTTAGCTGTAGTAATAAATAGCTACATTATTTTGACAAGTATCAAACAGGCAGCTAGTTTCAACTTACTATTTCGTTCGTTGGAAGAATTGAACAGTTCTGGCACAATGATTGTTCAAACGCCGATGTTAATAATCCGCGCTGAAACGCCACCTCACTAAAAAAAATATTTATTCATCTAGTCCTAGCAGACAAAAAAGCATTTTTCTTCACATAGAGACAATTCAGAAGCGCTGTTGCTCGGGAAATGTTTTCTAACACACTTGGATGTATATTAAAGTTCACACGGCAACCAGATGGACAATCAGACATAGTTTGATGCTACACTGGTTTGCAGATTTAATGAATGTAACCGAAGAAGTTACACTTGGATATCTTTGTATAGTATGCAGTGTCTTAATAAGTAAAATTGTTCAGATGAGTTTGTTTGCCTGTAAATTGATACTTTAAGTGCTTTCGCGGTTTTTGAAACCACCTGTTGCTCTGCAGTTTCACAGTAGTTTCAACTAATCAAGTGAGGAATAATTTTAATCCTCACAACGCATCCTTTACAAAGTTCCGTCTCGTATGCTAACAGCATCAGACAAAACTAATCACGAATTCTCAGCAAAACATATTGGTTGTAAGCACCTTGATAATGCTTGTGATTAAAAAAAAATTATCGCTTAGCCTGATGCGATAAGTTTTAGGTAATAATTGGAAAATTGGCCCTTACTTGATTTGCTTGAAAAATGTGACTCGAGCGAGGAATTACAAAGTTTTTTGTGTTAATTTCTTTTGCTGCCAGTGGGAGCAACTAACTTTAAAATTACGAGAAGCAGTAGCAAGTAAAAAAATTGGAAATCAAACCGAACCAAAAGTCAAAGGCAAAATTTTATTGTTAGTGTTTGGCTTTAGAAACTTCGTATACATCCATCATCAGATATTGAATAACATAAGTATTGTGAGCTGCGGAGAGACCGTTGTTATGCGGAATGAAAAATGTTCTTGCCATTGCCACTGTTCTCTCCCCGCTGTTTAGTTTCCATAAAGGAATCAATAAACATTATTTAGAGCTACCATTAGACAGCGAGCGCGCGGCACATAGACTGGTAAGTTACGTTAAAATTTTTTTATTTGGTTTTCCGCCTTGCCAAAATAGTTTTGCATTGAATAGTTCTGTTGACGGCGATTATATCGGGAAGCAAAGTCTCGGTTGAATACGCAAGATGTTCAGGAGAGTCATTATGGGAATGTTATCGATATGAGAAATAGCAAATTCTTGAAGATGTCTTAGTGACTCAGTTTAAAAAGAGGAATACCTTGACCTAAGAAAAAAAAAGGCGACCTGAGTTGTCAATAAAAACTCCTTTAAAACTGTGGACGGAAATTTGCTCAGCTAATAGCGCAACTAACAGGATAATTCTAAATTGAAGCTAAATTATCTTCAACTAAACACAAATAAATGCTGTACAAATGTACATAGGTGGTTTCATTGTCAATTGTCTCAGTCAAATAATTCGTTAGTTTTTCGCTAAGAAAACCAATACACGTTGAAAAACGAGAGATAAAAATCCTCCCATATCAAGCGTATTCCTTAAGACCGTGCAGGTGATTTTGAAATTACAATATACTTTTCAAATCTCTTTTCGTAAAGAACTAATAACTCGCAGGCTAGTTTGAGTACATGTCGTTGAATCTGAAAATGGCTTTGTTTCTTTGCAGCCAATCATGCGATTCTTGTGGGTATTGCTTCTACTGACGATAACAGATGGAGAACGAATCGTAGAATCTGATAACACGTATGTAATAAGCTACACCTTCCTTTTTTAAAAAAAATATGATTAATGCTATTGCAAGGGTGCATAGGAGGGATTTATATTGATGGGACTTTTCATTTGGCGAAGCTATGTTACCTTTTGGATACTATAAAAGACCACGTCAATGAGTAAATAAATTCAAGAATTTAATTGGCTTGAACGCAAGGATATATGACCCATTATACCACGTTTAGGTATTAGCTGAGACAAAACAGGTAGAACTATAAAAAAGTGATACTTTTTCAATTGGTATTTGTTCATACAGAATATTCTCCTGTCTCCTTGATTGTCCACCGAGCTTCAAAACTATCAACAAGGTTGAATGTAAGTTCTATTTGAGAAACAACGGTAAACAAGACTATTCAGTGCTGAAATGGCGCACACCGCTGGATGGACTGAGATCGAATTGCTTGGCGGTCGATACCAATGGCAAGAAGCTACGATACGATGGTATTTACACGAAGCGCTCCGCTCCAGGCCCTGACCAATACTTGCTCGTCAAACCCGGACAAACAGTGTCGTCCACCTTTGACGTTTCAGATGCGTACGACATGACCAAAGCCGGCCTGTACTCTATGGTAGTGGACACTTATTTAGAATATGTTATGGGTAGTGTAATTAAAAAGCCAGTTATCCAATCTAACATAGTTCATTTGAAATCTTCTTCTGTAAGTTACGAGATAGTTGATGGAAGTTTCATGAAGCGAACCCTGGGCCAAAGAGCGCGTTCTCTTGAAAGATCAAATGAAATTCACGAGGAAAGTCTTACCCGGGAGGGTTTGGACGTCGAATTTGATAGGAGAGGAGAAGAATCTAACGAAATTAAATATTCCATACAGGGAGGATCTAAAGCCTTGAGAGACGAAACAGAAGTGGCAATTTTGGCTGCTAACACTAAAATAAAGTCAGCGATTCAAGATATCGAGAATAATCCCAAAAGAGCTAAAATTTGGTTTGGAAAAACCGCTATTGATGCAAAAAACGTATTCGTAGATATGAAAAGGAAATTGGCACGGAAAGAAATGATATATATCTTTAATGGAAAGAAATGCGAAAAAGATATGTTTGCGTACACTTACCTTGGCTCACGAAAAATCTTTCTCTGCAAAGCGTTCAATGAGGCAGAAACGTTAGTTGGGTTTGATACCAAAGCGGGAATAATAATACATGAGCTGAGTCATGCATTAACTTACACAGACGACATAACATACGGTCAGCATTCTTGTAAAAAACTTGCTAAAAAAAAAGCGAAAAAGGCTGTCAAAAATGCTGATAATTACGAATATTATGTTGAAAGTGCACCAAATCTATAGACTTGTTTTTACCGTCTGTGCATTTAGTCAACGATACTCACTGAGATATAGCGCTGTTTTAACCCTCTGCCTTAAGCTGAGGGAGCTGACTTTAATGGGTTGAAACGGTGATATCGCGACTGACAGAAGTTTTATATTAAGGCTTAAATTATGTGTATGGGGGAGTGGGGGTCTTACGATATATTTAATTATAAATAAGAGGCAAGGGGGATCTTATGATCGAGTTGAAATAAAGGAATGAGTGCGAGGAAAGTTTCCAATTGTTTATCCGAGAGGGCCTATGTTAGGTTTAAATGTTTACTCAGATAAAAGTAAGTAAAAGTTACCTGACGTCAGGCATTTTTTGCAAAAAGTCTAAGATGGCGAATAGGGGAGTCCCCTGTGTTCTCCGGCCGAAATGTTCGCAGTTTTTTTTCTCTAAAATATTACTGCACACCTGGCATGTATTTTAAAACAAAATTGATATGCTCCTTCTTTGAATAGGCTCTCCGGAGGGAATAAGAAATACAAGATTTGAATACAGGAATGGAGCATTCACAAGAAGTAATGAATATTAAATCTTTTTTACAGTAAAGGCGAAGTTGATGAGACACATTGTTTCACCAGATTCAGTTACTACTTCTTGTACAAGAGATCTAAATGCTGTAGCCGCTATATTTAAATGAAAAAAACTTACACGAAACCTCTCGATTCGAAAACTAGGGCTATTTGTTTGTTTTTACACTTTGCAAACATCCATTAATGAACACTGAAAAACAAGTTTTGCTAGATAAAGCTAGAGTGTATCTGTTGCATTCGAAGTATAAAATCAGACAGCACAATAGCAGAGTATGTGAATTAAGGCGCGGTTTTCTTTAATCATTGATAACATGAAAATTAAAAGAAGTTACGCAACCTCTTGCTAAAACACAGTATGAAAACAAAATTATCTCTTTTAAAGCACTTGATATCTAATCATTTGTCAATATCAACTACTCCAAAACATTCACCGGTCACCGGCGAAACTATGAAAATTATCCGGCCGTCAATGTTTCGAAAATGATTTCAAACAAAATAACAGAATAATTAAATTCGACAAAGTTGGGATGAAAAGATGTTTGTTTTTTAATTTTTCGGAAACAAACCTGAGGGGATATCGATTGACCATCAAGAAAACCCTCAATTAACCATTTGAAAGATAAGTATTCTTAGATACAGCCAGATTGTAATGAAAGATAGGAATATTGTGGACATTACATTACAATACAGTGTCCATTAGTAAGAAAACTCATTGCAAAGAGTCATAACAAGCCACTGAACACAGATTAATCAAACTGGTAAGTTTAATTCTTTCAGTGCCTTTGCGAGCGACTGGAAAATAATCGGGGTTCGTGTTTTCTTGGTAACCAAAGCTGGCCCGTAAAAAATGATCTTCGGCATTTTTAGACTAGGTAAACAACCATTAGGAAAGGTAAATAACCACGTCAATTTCCGAGATGCAACGTGGTTGTTGTGGGAAGAAAGAATGCTGCCAGATATTACTTTACATTCGTGCTCAATATACGTGGAACACACTCTCAGAGTCATCACTGAGACATCGACCACGTTCGAGGCACATAACTTGGTGAGTTGACTTTTTGCATGCTGTGGACCAATACTATTGTTTACTGAGAAGTTACTGGAACTTGCTGCTCGAGCTAGTAATCATGAAAGCCGGCCATGATCAATATCTTATATAATCGACCACTTAGAAATTTTTGAATACCAAGAAATTTATAAACGGGAGTGCCACTGAAAAGATTTCTTTTAGGTTGGCCTCAACCTTTCACTTAAGCTCCGAACTCTGATCGCTTATTCTATCTACTAACTGTCATGCATTTCATATGAGTAAATTGCTCGTTGAAAACGGATCAAAATCTCTGAAAAATTTATCTTGCTTCACAGTTTACGATGAAGTTCTTGTGTATACTGTTGATTTTGGGGTCGATGGAAAGTGGACGAAGCGCCCCATTTGACATTTCCGATACCAAGTGAGTACTGAATGATCTTTTTCAGTAACAAATATTATGAATTCCAGTACAGAAATGAAAACGGTAAGAATTATTTAAGCTTTAAATCAAATAGAATCACTTAAGCTATTACTTGATCACGACGAAAACTGCGTCACTATGTAATTTAATTCGAAAGTTTTCACAGGCTCAGACATCAGACACCATGGTTTACGAAGCATTATACCATGTAAGGGGTGTCAGCTAAAACTCTGTCTTTTGTTTTGTTTCTATGTAACGAAATAATAATGCATTGAAAAGATTAAGTTTGAGCTTAAAATAACAAAATCATCTTTTCCACAGAGTTTTCTCGATTTTTTATTTATTATATTCTCGCCTGTTCAAATTTGGCGGAAACAAGTGTTTCCATGAAAAACAACGATCAACGAGACTATTCAGTCTAAAATGTAACCGCATTCATCAATCAATTGGCCAATCAGAAACGCGATATTTTGTTGAGTATATAATAAGAAGCATTACACCATGTAAGGGGTGTCAGCTAAAACTTTGTTTTTTGTTTTGTTTCTATGTAATGAAATAATAATGCATTAAAAAGATTACAGTTTGAGCTTAAAATAACAAAATCATCTTTTCCACAGAGTTTTCTCCTCTCATCTCGACTGTGCGTCAAACTATGAAGCAGGAAACAAGATTGAATGCAAATTCCATTTGAAAAACAACGATCAACGAGACTATTCAGTGCTAAAATGGCGTACACCGCTGGATGGACTAAGATCAAATTGCCTTACAGTCATTACCAATGGAGAGAAGCTACAATACGATAGTATTTACCTGAAGCGCTCCGCTCCAGGCCCTGATCAATACTTGCACGTCAAACCCGGACAAACAGTGTCATCCATCTTTGACGTTTCAGATGCGTACGACACGACCAAGGCTGGCCTGTACTCTATAGCGGTGGACACTAATTTAGAGTATGTAGCAGGTAGCTTGTCTGAGGGCCCACTTACCCAGACTAAGATAGAACACGTATCTTCCCCTGCCGTAAGTTTCGAAGTTGTAAAAGAAAGTTTCATTAAGGAAGCCTCGGGCCAAAAAGCGCGCTTTCTTGAAAGAAAATACCGGGATTCAAAGGAAAGTTTGACAAGGGCGCGCGCGGCCTCGGGGGATGAGTATTTAAGAAAAGCAAATTATACCGCGGAAATGTATAAAAATCCGCCTGCGCTGGCGATTGATGGTGATGGAAGGGATGCAATACTGGTAAATAAAACAACAATAATCTTTTATGCTGCCATCTTCAACACGATATTTGCCTTTGAGGTCTCAAAAAAACTGGTTACGAAAGTGCTAAAATTTGGCTTGGAACTGCTCCTATTAGTAAACCCAGAGAGGTTTTTTAGACAAAATGCTTGCTAATATCTAGCTCTCAGGGGCGTGGGAACCACTTTTTAATGGGTTATACAGGGATATTTCGGCTGCAAGAGGTTCCGTATTCAATAACTTAAATTGTATGTATGCAGAGGAGTTTTAAATCAGTGTTAAAGAAGTTTAAGGTTACTCAAGAAAATAGCGGATAAAACTTGCTGGGGCTTTAAAGAAAACGCTTCTCGTGTTATACTTTTAATGACCAGAGATTTCAAGAACGGCGAAAGCTGAGCCTTGTCTGCGCAAAAAGGCTATTTTCTTAGTGCTGGGCTACATCCAAGCGGCAAATAATTCAGTTAGTATAATATTTTACCAAAAATCAAAAACAAAAAGGAACCGTAACAAAAGATAAACTTATCTGGCCAAGAATAAGAAACTTTTTTATTTTTTATTTGCACCTCCGCCCTCCTTGAATAAGCTCATGAAAAGGAAAAATAAGGAAAATGTAATATTTCATACCACTGGAAGACAAAGACACGCGAAAATGGAAATTAAACATGTGTTCTTTTGTCGGATCGGATTGGAGGATTTTGGTTGTGTCGCGTTCAAATTTTCCAATCCCTCCAAAATACGTAACATTCTTATGATCCCCTACACATTGACAGTAAATTGGCGGTCAACTTTATATTCCCTTCCTTTATACTCTGTTGGCCACGACTGATCCCCCTGCGCCCCCCCTGAAAACCATGATATGATCCCATTTCACTCCCATGAGTGATCAAGACAGAATTTCTCCTTATAATATTAATACAATATCATGCAGACACGTGATGAGAATTAAATAAATATTAAGTAGGTGATTATTAGTTGATCCAATACCAAATTCTCCAAACTAGCATCACAAGAACTTTATGACTGACAGTAAGGAGAATTACTAACGAGATCTTGAGAGTTTAAGGGTTAAGGCATTAGTCATTATTATCACCATTATTAATAGGTGGATGATTGGATGGGGAAATAGAATGGCTTTTAAGGGGGTATGGAGGGTGGGGAATCAGTCGTCAGAACATTAGAACATTACAGAACATTAGAACATTACAAAATCCGCCGACCCCCTCCTCCCTCGTGATAAATAATGCTGGTCTGTAGACTTGGAGAAACTACGTTTTATTTTAACACAAAGTAAATTGAAGCACAACTAATAGCTTTCGTCAAAAATCGTTTGACAGCTCACTAATTTATTCTCTCGTTTATAAACCAACTGTTTACAAGTGCACCTAATTAGACCTTTCATTTTACTTACTGTCTTCACGAATTAGATAGCGCCGGAGAAGCATATAGAACGCCATTAGATTTTATACCAAAAAGGGATATCAGCGAAGTGTTAGGGAAAGTTTACAAAATGCTGAGGAGAGGAGGGGGGGGGCTGTTGAGTATTATCGCCTCAAGAGGAGTAGTCAGAGTAATTTAAGTCGCTCTATCCTTTGGAAACCGGAATAAACTGCGCTAGTTGTGGGTAATTGGCTCTGGTTGTTTACTGACCGTTGTTAATGATATGTTCAGGTAAAGAGGAAACCAGGCATGGAAGGGAAAGATCTGCTCAGTGATTCTGACAGCGCGTCGTCGGGTGGTATCTGGGACTCTTTATCA